CTCTTTTTCCTGTAGGGTTCATCAGATCTGTCATGGGTAAAAATATTTTCCTGTGGCCTTTGTATTTGGAAAACAAAGTAACTGAGTATGAAAGTTGGAGATTGGGTTTTTTTCCCCTCTTAGTTTTAATAGAGGTTATTGAATATCCTGATATCCTAAGATGTCTTTTTATTTTCCCTTTGTACTTCTGCTTGAAATCCCTAGGAATTTTTATCCAGTAATTTCTTGATATTAACTCTTCTGTAGTTTATTACTTGAAAATACAAATCTAAGTCAAACCTCTGTTATTTTATTATGTAGTGTTTTGTGTTTTATATACTTCTGTTTTCTTTGCCTGAGTACACCAATTTTAAGTTTATTGAATCTCTTTTATCTAAGTATTCACTAGCTTTTTCTATATATTACAATATTTGTCTCTTATTCTTTTTGAAAAGTTTCCTTAAGCCTTCCCTCCATTTTTCTGAATGTGGTTGTAGTTATTCTAGTTTTACTTCTTTCTAATATGTCTTTTATTCCTTTTTTTTAAAGATTTTATTTATTTATTTATTTTTAGAGAGGGAAGGGAGGGAGAAAGAGAGAGAGAGAGAAACATCAATGTGCGGTTGCTGGGGGTCATGGCCTGCAACCCAGGCATGTACCCTGACTGGGAATTGAACTTGCGACACTAGTTCGCAGCCCGTGCTCAATCTACTGAGCTATGCCAGCCAGGGCTATGCCTTTTATTCTGATAATGAATTTTCCCATTTCTTACTTTTAGTCGGTATTCATATATCTAACTTTTTTCTTGTTAATCTCTTTTTAATAAAGATTTTATTTTTTTTTTTATTTTTAGATAGAGGAATAGGGAGGGTGAAAGGGACAGAAGCATTAATGTGTGGTTCCCTCTCGTGCACCCCCTGCCGGGGACCTGGTCAATAACCCAGGAATGTGTCCTGACTGGAAATTGAACCAGTGACCCTTTGGTTTGTAGGCTTAGTAGTCAATCCACTGCGACCCACCAGCCAGGACTCTGTGAATCTTTTATATGTTTTCCTTGAGCTTTTCTTGAAGGGGAACTCTTTTATATTTTATATTTGATTTGTTGAGTATCTGAGGGTTTTTTTTATATTTGTAAGTAGTATCTTTGAAATTCTGAAGCACTCCTTCCTGATAAACATTCTACATTTGTATGGTTATGTTTCTTCCCCTCAACTACTACTCCTTCATCTCTCTGTTTCTATGTAAAATTCTTTTATTCTTAGTAATTATTCACCTTTGAATGGGGAGAGTTCTATCTTGTCATACTATATGATAATGAAATTAGTGACATAAAATTGGAGCATAGGTGGAGTGAGCTGGGGTACTCCACACCTTTAATTCTGATTTATTCTCTGGAATTTGCTGTCAAATTTTTTCAGTAGTGTCATTATGTATTTTCAGGCTTTACAGTCCATACAAAGTGACTGCTGTTGCAGCACAAAATGAGCCATAGAAAATATGTAATGTGTAGGCATGGCTCTGTTCCAATAAAATTTTATTTACAAATTCAGATAGTATCTTGTATTTGACTCATGGGCAATATTTTGTTGACCACCATGCTTGAATATCTGTTGCTCAATTATAGGTAGGAGGCCCTTACACTATAATGATGAGAATGGCTAATGCAACTCCTAGGGGCAGTTAATGAAAACTTGTCTGGCAGTTGAGTCTGTCACTGGAATGGATTGTGGTAACACTGGCAGAAGCTGTGCAGTTACTTAATACTGATTACATGACCTGTGTGACCTTTGAGAGTATCTCTACTATATCACCTCTACTGCACTTTCTTGTTGGATATTACTGGTTCATTTCTTCTATTCCCAGAAGTATTAATAGTAATACAATTTTGACAATAGTCAACCTCATTTTTATTCTCTTTTTAATGTATGCTTATGGCCTACTCTTGTGGACTAAGCTTTAGGCATTCATAAAAATCTTAATTTTTCAAAAATGTCAGGTCTTGAAAATTTGAAATTAATTAGGTTTACAGAATGTTGTCTCATAGTAAGTGTTTATGGATTCATTCAGAAACTTGTATCTTTACTTTGGCTCTATGCAGTGACTATATAAGAAAGCAGTGTTGCCCTGGCCAGGTTGCTCAGCTGGTTGGAGTGTCTTCCTGTAAATCAAAAGTTTGTGGGTTTGATTCCCAGTCAGGGTACATACCTAGGTTGTGGCAGGTATGGGGGGCAACCCATCGATGTTTCTCTTTCACATTGATGCCTCTCTCTCCTTCTCCCTCCCTCCTTCCCTCTCACTTCCTTTGTGTCTCTAAAATAAATAAACGTATCCTCTGGTTAGGGTTAAAAAACCCTATCATTCTCTGGAGCATTTAAAAAAAAGAAATGTCTCTGACTCAATAGGACTTTGGGGTAAGAAAAAGATAAATAAATATGTAATAGTATAAATTCTTACAGTTATTATACAGTGATACTCTATCATACTTCTTTCAGTTCATTTGACAGACAAGTTTAAGCATACTTTGAGAACACCAATGGATTGGTAAGATACAATTATTCGCCAGGCAGAGTTTATGATCTACTAAAGAAAAGAGATATTCCCCACCCCCCTAGACTTGCTATGTTTTTGTAGAAATTTCAGTGTTAACTTTCACACCTATCCTATATTTTCCTATAATCACTGCAGGTAAGAGCAGGAGGGTAGGAGATGGTGAAAAACAGAGGGAGAAAACAGAGGTTAAGTTATTTTACTTGTCATCAATATATTATTACTTTTTAAAATTCTTATAATACAAAAGGAAGACTAAATGTATGCAAATAAATATTTAACATCCCTATTAATATGTTCAAATTTATAAAAATTGCCTAGTATTATTGCATTATAAAATCCACACATATAGTTAGTTATGTGTAATTTAGCCATTTGTAATATAAAGTTGCATTTAAATTTTTTTACATTAGATGTTGATTTTTTATAGAAAATATGAACTTTGGGTAGTTAATAAGATTTTTAAGTGTAGACTTTGCCAGAGGTTTTTCTGTGTAAATTGGTATTATTATTTGTTAGATAGGTCAGTAACATGCAGCAGTGTGTAAAGGCATTATATTTCATTTTGATTTTTTTGTTTATTTTTTCCTTCAAGGCTAGAAACATATAATAAATACAACAATTTTGAGATAATTATTAATGGAGGTTCATGAGTAACACTGTCTTTTAAATTTGCTTTTATGAAGTGGTTTGTTTTTACTGTAATAATATCTCTAAGCTTTGATACATTCCCCAGCTTTCTATGTGTATGAAAAAAAACAAAGGGAATAATAGATTAATATTTACTGAGGAAACAGCCTAAGAGTGATATAACTGCTAGATGTTATACAACAGACAAGTAACAGCTCAGAGAAGGACACAACTCCAAGTTTGTCACATTAAAACCAATGCTCTTATCCACATGTTAGTTAAGTTACTGTGCCAATGGCCTATCTTTGGATAATTTATAATAAATGTAGACCTTTTGATAATCCAAGTCTAGTAAATCATAATTTTTTACATGTCAGGTTACTTTCTTCCTGCAAAAATAATTTAGAAGATTAACTCGCTTCAGTCTTTCAATGGTTATGTTTATTCATTTAGTCAACTAATATTCATTGAGCTATAGGGAGAAATAATGCAAATTAAACAGGTATAATCCCTAATCTCATAAAAACTAATTCCATACCAAAACTTGTTGGCCAATTGAAGGTAGTCACCATGAGAAGTTTTTTTCTTATTCTAGAGATGTGTCTGTTATTTACAATACTGTTAATGATTCTCTCAGAATTCCCTTCAAGTCTTGTAAGTGAATGTTTGGTTTTAGGGTGTATATTCTAGTTTTAGAACAACTAAACATCTAAACCTAAAGGGAAAATATAAGTTACATGGTCAAGTTAGAGAACTTCTTTTCCTTTGGGTTACCCACCACCCTGTCTTATTCATTACGATTATAAATTAAAGTGTGACTGGGCTGCTTGTATGACTTCTAATGTAAATGTAACAGCAATTCTATGAAATAAATTTATTTTTTTCCAGCAACGATGGGCAGACTCTTGGGATATCATTTCTAAAGCCTCCTGATCCAGCTTTAAAGAGAACCACCTATGTTTAGTGAATTTTAAAAATTGATAGTCTGATTGGTTTGTAGACAAACCTTGTGCACTTTCTTAGTCGGTGTCTGAACAGGGAAAAGGGCATGACATACAATAGAAAACAAACTAGAGAAAGGAAAACTGCCTGATGGCAGTGTTTTTCTTGAGTTGTTTGAGAGAATGTTCACACAAATACCGTGATTTTGTTTTTTGCCACTTCCTGCAGGTGCTGTCCTTGTGTTTGGTGTGGTCTCACTCTGTTTCTGCCCACCTCTAATGTCACATTTGTCCAACATTCCTGATTTTTTGTTGTAATGATGCTAGGTCATTTAAATTATGCAATATAGTGTAATTATATTTGAGATATGCCTTTCTCTCTTAGATGTAAGCAACACAAAGCAGAGTTGTATGTTTCATTAATGTTTGTATTCCTTAAGGTCTCGTCACAATTAATATCAAATGAGTGAATAGATGGATACATGAACAGAAGAGATTCTAATTAAGACAAATTTATTAGGATGAAATGCAATTATGCATATAATTCCATAGGTAATAAAATGAGGGTTGTACTTTGGTCAGAAAGGAACAAAGAAAGAATTAAGAAAAGGAGTCACCAAATTTTAATTACTAATGAACAGAGTATACATTGTGCAGTGGAGTATGTCGGCTCAGAGTGGAGCTTTGTAAGAAGGAAGAAGTGGGATGAAACAATGTGTGTGGAGCTCGTGTGTACTTCACAGTTCTTACACTAGTGGAAATGGTAAGCTCTACCAGGCTGACAAGCATGTGTTTTATACCCTGTAGTAAGAAGTTCCATCATAAAAATTATTAAATAAGGTCTTTTTATTTTTAATACTTGCCTCCTTGAATATTATCATTATTCAATTTAAAATTTTACAGATTACCTACAAAATATTGGAGACGGATCCAGGATCCATAAGACTTTACACCTTGAATCAAGCATTTATTTGATACACTCTTCTATATTTCCTTCATATCAACTATATTATTTTAAAAGAGAATTAACAAATTTGCCATTAAGATATTTTTAAAAATAATATTACCCACACTTTCCAATGCCTAAGAATAGCAAAGTGGTAAAAAGAGAATTAGATGATGAGGTTATTGAATCTGTCAAAGACCTTCTTTCCAATGAAGATTCAGCTGATGATGCTTTTAAGAAGAGTGAACTAATTGTTGATGTTCAAGATGAGAAGGATATAGATGCTGAAGAAGTATCTGAAGTCGAAGATGAAAGACCAGCTTGGAGCAGTAAGCTACAATACATCCTGGCCCAAGTTGGATTTTCTGTAGGTTTAGGGAATGTGTGGCGATTCCCATACCTATGTCAGAAGAATGGGGGTGGTAAGTTTTTTGTATTTCTTCTTTTTTTTCAAAGTGATACATTGCTGAGTAAATTTTAATTGATTATTTCAAACAGCTGCTTATGTTGCTGACATCACATTATTTTATTAACTATGAATTCCATAATAAAGCAAGGGAGACTCTTGTTGAAAGTGGGCTTAACTTTGTTTTCAGAATAGGTTTCCATAGGAGCAGATGGCTTGCTATGAATACCCTGGGATTGCTTTAAGGGTAGTATATTCTCAGATTCGTTCTGTGGATGCTATTAAATGTCTCTAAATTACTGACTTTTATAACACAAATATTACATCCCTTGTGCCCCTCAGTTATTCTTTTAGGAGAAAAACCTAAAGTTTCTGGAATAAGACAATATTGTTGAAGAAAGAGAGAATTTTCTATTACTTATATATCTGAATTTTAAGTAGTTTAACTATTCATAAAAGCAAAAGTTACATATAATATAGAATGAGTATAGTCTTCAAATGTTGACCAGAACTTTGTAGATCCCAGCAGAAGGGATTTAACTGGGTAGTTAATATAATACCAGATTCTCCATCCTTAGATATCACACATATTTGTTTCTTACTTCTGTAGTATTTGTGGACAATGTTCTATTTTAAAGAAAACTTTAAAGAAATTAGAATCCTTAGATTTTAAACAAACATATCTATATCAACATGGTATTGTAATTCTTTTGTATTTCTGCATGTAAGTACCAAGGGCTATTTAGCAAATATTTCTTAAAAATCAAGGGGAAAAAACACATTCAAAAGAAAAATGCATGTAGGACATAGCTTTATAGTACACCAAAGTCAAACTGAATGGTTTGAGGCTTTATTATTTATATACATGGAAGCTGTTAAAATGTGTGGTTAAAAACTAAATACTCTATACACCTCATTTCAGTACCCATCAGATAGAAAAAGTATTTTGGTATTTGATACCAGTTTGTGATAGTTGTGTTGGCTGGACAAAATGATGTTATGTTATGTTATTTTATTTATTTTTTATTGTTTATGTTATTATAGTTGTCCCAATTATCCCCCCTCAGTCCCCATCTTCCCGGCCCATCCCCCATTCCCACAGCCATTCCCTACACTGTTGTTCATGTCCATGGGTCATAGATATATGGTTTTATTTTAGATGTAGTTGCAACTTACACATTGAGTGAAATAACGTAACCATTCAATATAGAATTTCTTTTTAGCCACTAAGAGATAAAAAGATAAGGTGTTATGGTGACAAAATATGTTTAAAATCTTGCTTAGCTAATTCAGCCAGGCACAGAATAAACAGGTTTGAAAAAATTAGCCTGTTTGACAAATCTTCCTGAGATGAGTGAACCAATACGTGAAGTCAGTGATGTGCTGCACCTCGTTCTACTGAAATCATGAGCTCCTTTTCTAGTCAGTAATATCCCATATAAATTATTTATAAAATCAGCACAAGCTATGTAGTATGCTGCTTTCTGTTTCTCACAAATCATTGCATTTGCCAAGACAGGCAGAAGGTGAAATCTGATTTTCAGACTTCTCACCTTATGAGCCTTACTGCCCAAGAAAGTTGCCTTGGTTGAAAAGTTAGGTTGCTTTCCATTTAATGCAATTTTTGTCTTGATGGAGAGCTCTAAAGAATTGTATAGGTAGTAATTAACAAAAATGGCTCTTTCCAATTTTCATGTAAAAGTAATCAAATGCCCTTTCTAGTATTGTTTCCTTTCTTCTAATCACAAATACTAGAGAGTGATATTACCAAAAAACAGTGGAATTTTATTCTTTCAAGATGGTCGTTAGAGCATAAAAGGTTGTGCTCAGTGTGCAGAATAGTGTTGAACCGTCTAGGTATTCCAGTAGTATCTTCTGGCTGCTGAGTCAGAGAGCCTTAGGCTACTTAATTCTTACTTATTCATCATTTGAGGCACTTTATGAATAATAGAAGTAAAAAGTAATAAGCCTAATAAAAGTTGATTTTTCTGAAGATATTATACTTAAAGCACAATGGTTAAGCTTAATAAGTGATACCATATAGAAGCTCTCAGCCCAGTATTTGAAGTCAATTTGACTGTGAAGCCTGGCTCTTTTTGGACACTGGTCATGTGATCTTTACAAGTTAACTTACTTCTTCTGGCTTACTTCATACATCTGTAAAATAAGGAGAACAATGGTACCCCATTGGATTATTGTAAGGAATAAATGAGTAAACTATTTAAGATTTTATTTATTTATTTTTAGAGAGAGGGGAAGGGAGGGAGAAAGAGAGGAAGAGAAACATCAATGTGTGGTTGTCTCTCAGGTACCCCCACTGGGGACCTGGCCTGCCACCCAGGCATGTGCCCTGACTGGGAATCGAACAAGCGACCATTTGCTTTGCACTTAAACCTTTGCTCAATCCACTAAGCTACACCAGCCAGGGCACGTTTTTTTTTGAAGACTCAAAGTGTTTGCCCATTTCATGATGATTGATTTATGAGTGCACCTGCCCACACCGTGTAGAATGTTCATCAGTTTTTGACCCAAAATGGCATGACTCCTGTGCCCCACCCTCTCTATTCATTCCATCTCACCACAGCAACTTTTTTTGTTTGTTTCCCTGGATGAAAAAAGTCCTTAAAAGGAAATGTTTTGCTGATGTGGAAGAGGTGAAACAAAAAATGGCAGAACACTGAAAGGCATCAAAATTGATGAGTTCAAAAACTGTTTTGAGCAGTGGGAAAAATATGTCTTGATAGTTGTATTGCATCAAGTAAAGAGTACTTTGAATTTTAAACATGTAAGAATAAATACACAGTTTTTATAGGTAAATTCTGTTTGTTGGAGGTCCCCCTCATGCATAACTGGAGAAAGATTCACAGTGAGTCCAGTGTTAATTAATTCTCTCTTTTTTCCCTAGTCATTCACATACACACAAACCCATTCACATTCTAGGATTCAATGCAGTTGTTGAAATGCACTTTCAGTCCTTTGGGAGACATTTTAAGGCTGTTGGTACCTGAAAGTTACACATCATTTTAGAATTAGCAATGCGGTAGTTTTGTCTCACCAGCTCACACATCCATACTTTTACATTACATACTCCTTTGTAGAATCAACTCAAGTCCAAAAGACTGAAAGTCAGGCATAAGACAGTTGAGATTTTCTACTGACCCCTGTATTAGGGAAAATTCTTATATATTTCAGCAATAGATACTGAGATAAATAATTTGAGCAAAAATTTGTTAATTTTTTCAGCAGAATGCTCAAACAATTGAGTAGCTTCTAAAATCTATTCAATCAATATCTCTTAACACTTAAAAAATGGGAAAATACAATAAATGACCTCTTATTTAAAAAGGGATTAGTGCCATTGATTAAATAACCCACTTGACAGTATCTAGTTGGACAAAACTCCAGTAAAAAATTTGAATGTAGACCTTAGAGGTTAGTTAATGAATAATTTGTATATATATTCTCATGTAGAAATTTGTATAGATTTTACATTTAACTTCATCAATTTATAATCTAAAATTAAAATTGTCAAACTAGTATATTTAAATGAAATCCTTACCCAAGGATATGTTTATTGATTTTAGAGCAAGAGGAAGGGTGCAGGGAGAGAGGGAAAGATCTGTGAGAGAAACATCCATCAGTTGCCTCTTGTATTCACCTCGAACCTGCATCCTTTTGGTGTATGGGAAGATGCTCCAACCAACTGAGCCACCTGACCAGGGCATCAAACTAGTGCATTTTAAAACCACTATTCATGTATATGAATCCGAGATTTAGCTGTTATTTTTTTAAGCATGGAAACTTTACCACTAGGATAATGGCACATATTTTACAATCGATATGAAATATCTTCACTTCCGTAAATTTCACTACCCCATCATAGAAATTTGGAAAACAAAAAATTACTTGTTTCCTGAGGTATACTTTTTATATGAAGTATATATGGGAACAATGACATTTGTCTTTGGTAGAGGTTATTTTATTTTTATTTGTTTTTAGCTGAGGCAGTCCTTTTTATCCTCTGTGGTTATTTAGGGAAAAAGTCAGTTTTGTTAGCATAAAATCTCATTCATTCTAATTTATCTAATTTGCAATGAATGATTTAGATGAGCTTGAATAAAATGTAGTAAGTGACTTTATACACATTGCATGAATAAGATTTCCGTGAGTTTGTGAAATCTACTTGAGGAACTAATTAATTTTAAGGAATCAGTTATTTTTATGAAAAATGAAGATTTTTGCCCTTTCAATAAAATGAAACCAAAATTATTCATTGATATTCTTACTTTCATCAATTATTTTTTATCAGAGATTCTTTGTAGCAGTCAAATTGAGGTTTCAAATACTAGAAAGTTTAAAGTAATGAAATTGCATTTTCTTTAAAGTTCTTATACAATGTAGAAGTTCAAGTATCATCTTTATGAGATAATCAGAATGTGTATTCTCTACTGTGACTATTGAAAATATAATCTATTTTATTGGTTCTTGTCTCTGTAGGTGCATATCTTTTGCCATATTTAATACTGCTTATGGTAATAGGTATTCCACTTTTTTTCCTGGAACTTTCTGTGGGTCAAAGAATTCGGAGAGGAAGCATTGGTGTGTGGAATTACATAAGCCCAAAACTGGGTGGTATTGGATTTGCGAGTTGTGTGGTAAGTTTCCTGATATGACATATGCCATGTAATTTTTACAGAGTTTGTACTTGTATAGTTTGTATGTAAATAGAACTTTTGAGTGTGTATTGCCACTCAACTTTTTAATCATCTTTAAAGAAAACACTTTAGGAGCTTGCACTAATATACAGAACAAGCTAAACTATACTAATGTAATCCAGTCTTGTTAATGCATTTTCTTAAGAACTGTAAAAGACCTATTTTTTTAGAAGAGATAATGTGTTTTAAATGAAAATAAAAGGAGTAGGATTTTTAAAATGCTAATTGAGCTCATATACATATCTCATTGTTTCAAAAGAAGGGGGCATGATAGGTCTGATGTCATCATATGATTTTATTTTGCAGGTGTGCTTTTTTGTGGCTCTCTACTACAATGTCATCATTGGCTGGAGTTTGTTTTATTTTTCTCAGTCTTTTCAGCAGCCTCTGCCTTGGGATCAGTGTCCTTTGGTGAAAAATGCTTCACATACTTGTAAGATATAGACAATATGTTCTTATATTTAATGACTTTAAAGTTGGTAAAGACATGAGATTTTAAGATTTTTAAAATAATGTGGAAAAATTTTTCAAAATTATTATAACTTTCATCACTTTTAGATTGGCATACTCAGAGATAGAACTTTGGTACCAACTAAGTTTATTAGCCCTCAGATTATTTTTTCTCAGTTAAGTATAGTTGGCATACAATATTATATTAGTTATAGTAGTTTCAGGTGTACAATTTAGTGACTCAACTTATCTATGCTGTACAATGTGGTCACCCCACTAATTCTAGTAATCATCTATTCCCATGCAAACTTATCAAAGTATTATTAACCGCATCCCCCTCTTCAAGTTATTTCATTGCGCCCCGTGATATCAGGGTGAAATGTGCCTTCGATTGTTAACTTGGACAGTATTTGATTTTGTACACTTTTTTTTTTTTTTGTCAGAGGTGCATGATTTATTCTCCAATTTCTGGGAAAGGGAAAAAATTCAAAGAGAAGAAAAATGAATTCTTCTAAAGCTGGAACTAATAAAGTTCTTTTAAAATGTCTTTTTGCCTGGCTGGCATAGCTCAGTGGATTGAGCTCGAGCTGCGAACCAGGCATCGCAGGTTCGATTTTCAGTCAGGGCACATACCTGGGTTTCAGGCCATGGCCCCCAGGAACTGCACATTGATGTGTGTGTGTGTCTCTCTCTCTCTCTCTCTCTTTCTCTCTCCCCCGCCTTCCCTCTCTAAAAATAAATAAATAAAATCTTTTTAAAAAAGTATGGTAAAAAAACTTTTAAAATGTCTTTTTGTTTTCTTCTACCAGAGTTCTCATACTTTTGAAAGAGAATTTAAAAACAGAAAGGATTCCATACTTACTATTGGCCATCATTGATCATTTTCTGAGTTTATTCTGTTTTGATTAGCACAATGGAAGGTACTAAAACTGAAATAAAACCTAAGAAACAGGCATAGTATACTTTCCCATATATTTTATGCAGTCCCACTTATTCTTTGAAATATAATTGACATATAACACCATGTAAGTCTAAGGTGTACAAGGTGTTGGTTTGATACATTTGTATGTTTCAATATGATTATCACAAGGGCATTACTGACACCTCTGTCACATCACTTGGTTGCCAACATTGGAGGAAAGAAATCAGGGCAGTGAAGATGTGAGGCAGTGAAGGAGAGAAAGAGGAGGGACCCTGGAATAGTTCTGGGCAGGAACAGACAGGAACGGTTGGTTTATTGGCTTGGCAGGCTATATGGTCTCTGTCAAAAGCTGTAGAGAACAGCCACCGTAGATAATACACACGTAAGTGGGCAACCCTGTTATGATAAAACTTTACAAACATGGGGAGGGGGTTGGATTTGACCTGTAGACCAGGGTTTGCCAGCCCCTCATCTAGGTATAATTCAAACACCCTGGTGCTTTCTGATGAGGTTGTTCTTCAGTTTGCACTCAGCACATAAGTGGATGACATCCTATCCCAGAGGACCCTGGCTCTGAGGATCCCTGCCCTTCCCTGTTCCTTTAGCAAGTGTACACTTTTCTTGATGCCTTACATTTTTTATTAAAACAAAAGATAAAAATGATTTTAGATTGAAGAAATTGCTGTTATGTCTTTAGTTCTTTCATGGTTTTTCTATCATTTATTTTTATATTCTAGTGTATAAATAAAGAATATTTCCCTATAGTGAGGTCCAGTAAATAGAGAATGCAATTCACATGTGTAGTCTAAAATTTTCTAGTAAGCACATTATTAAAAAGTAAAAAGAAATAAGTGAAATACTTCATTTAATTCTATATATCCAAAATGTTAACATTTCAACATATAATTAATTTAAAATTTATTAATATAGTAATTTGCATTATTTTCCTCACACTAAGTCTCCAAAACTCCCCTTGTATTTTATATTATAGCACATGTCATTTTGGATTAGCTCATTGCAAAAGTTGCATATGGGCAGCCGCAAGAACATTTGACAGCTATAAATTTGATATGTTTTTAACTACTTTGATTAAAAACTCACATATTCATATTCATAAATGTGTAATCAGAAATATTGAAGAGGATATATGTGTACTGATATTTCACATTTTGCAGTTGAGTTTTTATTATGAATTTAAATGCTTGTGTAGAATAGTAATACTTTTCTAGGAAATGTCAAGAACTGATTTACAGGCTTACTGGAAAAAAATTGTCTTATTGTTCTTTATAGTCTGAAATGATTATTACCTTCCTTTCTGCAGTTGTGGAGCCAGAATGTGAAAAAAGTTCTGCCACCACCTATTACTGGTACAGAGAAGCACTGAATATTTCCACTTCCATCTCTGAAAGTGGGGGCTTAAACTGGAAGATGACCATTTGCTTGCTGGCTTCCTGGGTCATGGTTTGCCTGGCTATGATCAAAGGCATTCAATCTTCTGGAAAAGTTAGTATGTTAAGAGCCCCTCCTGATTCTGTAATCTCTGTGGGCAAAGTGCAAGTAGCGCTTCATTCTAGGTGTTTACACTAAGGAGAGGACAAAAAATAAAGATATAAGTGTTTTATAGTGAAGTCTCAAGTAATTTATAAACTCTTGTATTTCATCAAGATTTTTGACATGTTTTGTCAGTACCTATTTTCTTTTGCTTTTTTTTTTTCAGTTTACCCTAATATTTTAGTTCTCCAATTACCAGTCATTTCCAAACAGGGAAATTGAGGACAGTGGTAAAATGAAGAAGTGTTCATTATATTTGTCTTGTATCATTTATTCTTCCGTCCCATAGTTTTCCCAAGGAGTAGTTGCATAAACGATTTTAATAGGGTCTCTAATGTGAAGTGTTTCTTAAAGATCTGAGTACCATTAGTTGGTTGCGATGATCTCCACAAGGAACTCAGAGTAAATGTAAAAGAGTAAAGGGCACACCTGCCCCAGCAAATGGAAGGTTTTAACAGCCATGGTTGGAAAACACATTCAGTGAATTCTAGAAACCTTGATTTATGTTTTTTAAAGAGTGAGTTAGGAAGATAATTGCTAATCACTCTTTTTCTTTCATATTATATTTTTTTCATTATTACTGTCATTGTTTTAATGCCCTTATATCTCTTGACTAGGCCATAACAAGAATTTATTATTGGTTCTTCTCTCTACCTTTAATTCATCTCTACTATTTTTTCTTTCCAAAGCATAGATCTGATTTTATACTTTTACAGGCTAATACATCGCCACTCACCATCATATACTAATAGAAATGGAGGAAATAGTGGTAGTAATAAATGGTGATGGTGAAATGACTCTGACAATGAACAGAGCAAGAACAATAACAGATGTCAGTATTTACTGAGTTTTTATTTTCTGTAGGCACTGATAGGTACTTTATTTACCTTATGAGAAGTAATAATAATAAACTCTGAGAAGTAATTACTACTTCCAGGCCTGCTTTACAGAAATAAAACAGGTAACTTGCTCAGAGTGTCATGGCTAGTAAGTAATTGCTAGTACCTGGAGTCAAAATCAACTCTGTCTACATCACAGGTGGCAAACACAAGGCTGGTGGGTAGAATCCTACCCTCCACCTTGTTTTATCCAGCTGGCACCTTGTTTCTACCCAGCAGCAGCGCTGAGCTCCTTGCCCCTAGTTAAGGAATAGTTACATTTATACAGTCCTAAAATTACAATCGGCCCTTTGAAGATAAACATGAGGCTGATGTGACCCCTGGTGAAAATGAGTTTGACACCCTGGTCTGCAGCTAGAGCCTATGTTACTTAATTGCAACACTATAATGTCTCTCACTGTCATATTTTTCTCACCATATAGTTAACTGTTTTATGTCAGAAGTCTTTGTAATTCATCTTTGCTTCTTGTATCATCTTCAATTGAAGTATCATCTTCAATGAAAAATGTTTGATGACTTTTTTAACTTGTAAATCACAGCTGATTCTACATTTCCTTCCTGTTGGAACTTTGACAGTGTTTTTCCTTTGAAGAAATGAATATGGTAGATAACACATCTGAATATCTTTTAGTCTTTTCTGAATGTTAATGTTTTTGCATGCTCAAATAAGTTCAATTAATTGATTCAATTTGGTCTTCTAACATTCTGAGATACATTATATCATATTAAAAATAAAGGAATATATTCTTAAGTCACATCTAATCACATTTACATGCTTTCTAAGGTAATGCCATTTGGTAGTAAGGGAAATGTGTGGTCAGCCAGAGGAGTCCAACAATCTCTGTGCTCATCTTATTGCCATACTTTGTTTTTTCTTAATCTTAATGTGTCTTATCATTATTTAAAGGAGTATTCATCCTTTTCTTGTCACAGAATTTTGCAGTTTTTTTATGTCATATAATGATATAAGAATGTAATATAGCTTATATGCTACATACAATTTATTACTTCAGTGAGAAGTTTCAGTGGCTTTTAGGCAGCATTGAAGAAAGAGTTCAGTAGGAACCGATGAGGAGAAAGTGGCAACTAATATGAGCAAAGATATGAAAATCTAAATTGTCATAATTCCTCAATCTGAAACAATGTGTTAAATACAATAATAAAATGTTAATTAGGAATAAATATAAAGCCCTGTGTTTACCAAACCAAAACACCTCCAAAAAAGGTAATCACACAAGCACAGTATAGAGAAATATGATTTAAAGTAAGATGGTAGTGTATGAAAAAGCTCTTTGGAGAGTTTAGCATTTAAAGGAGAATATGAGTCTACTTGTGTTATGCTTTGCAAACACACGGACACATGCACAACTCGATTTGGGAACTTAGTGTGTTAACACAGGAGTGTGAGAGTGTCAGTCTCCTTTGGCCGGGAGGCACACCTCAGCTGAACCCTGATTTCAATACTGGATTTAACTGAAATCTTTATTTCAGTTAATCCCCCTTATTTTGGAGAAAAGAAATCTCATCACCGTGATCACCATCTTCAAACAGTTGAATAAAAAGAAGAAGGCTTACTCTACGTGGCTAAAGAGAACAGAACTATGGTCAAATAGTTGGGGATTACAGAGAGTGGTGGAGTGTTGGTAACTCTTTAAAGAGAGGAAAGCGTTTTAGGAAGCAAGTCTGGTAATGGGTGAAACTTGACCTCTCAGTGTGAGTGAGTGAGCTCAGCATTATTGGAGGTGAGCACACAGAGGCTGCATGGCCCTTTGTCACAGCCTCTGTTAAGGGGATGCCTGCCCCAAGATGAGGGATGCAAATGTGGAGCTCTTAAGTTTCTTCTAACTCTAAGGTAATGTTTTTCTGCTAGTACTGCTTTGCCATTGTCCCTACTCCTATGCTAAGGACTTTATATGTATTAGCTGGTTTAAATCTTTCTGTCAGCCAGGTGATTTGCATGGTTTTATCTTCATTTTCCTGCATTGTTACCATGCTTAGAGAGAAGAAATAATTGTTCAGAATTAAACAACTGATAAATAATGGAGCTGGAACTAGACTATTAAGTCCTCAAAGAGAGTAACTTTATGAAAGTATGTTTAGAATAAGCATTATAATTTTAAGGAAAACCCGACAAAATGATTTTATATGCTTTATGTTCTTCAATGATTGAGTAGAATGAAAATATTTGTATACGATGTTTTGGTTGATAATCTCTTACTGAAAGGCATTTTGAATGTCACAGCCCAGAGGGTCTTAAAGTTAGCCAGAGAAACATATTTCATTGCTTTATTTCCCAGTTCTTCAAAGTGTGTATTTTCTGAACAATGTAGTCATTCATCAATTTATTTAATACACATATTAAATTGAGTACTTACTGTGTGCCAGGCACTGACCTTGTTCTGGAGATGCAGCAATGAACAAGGCAGGCAAGAATGCCTCTGCTCATGGAATGTCGATTCTCATGGCAGAAGAAGACAATAAGCAAAGCTGTAAAATAATTTTATTTAGCAGTGCATAAAATAAAGTGTGGTAAGGAGAAATTACGGCATTTTACATATAGTCAGGCAGATTAACCATTTTAAAAAGCATTCTATAACTATTTTGGTATGAGATTAAACCCATATAATTAAATATAAAGAATTTGAGGTAAAAAATATATTCACCTCTGTAAAGAGCTGACTTAAGATTCATTTTAAATCTCAGAATATTTTGGGGGCACTTGTTTCATTTTATTTATTTTTTTTATTAAACATTGGGGTGACATTGGTTCACAGGGTCATATAGGTTTTAAGTATACCTTTCTATGATACATGATCTGTACATTTTACTGTGTGCCCACCAAAAAGCAAATCATCTTCTGTCACCATATACTTGGCCCCCTTTACCCTTTACTACTCCCCCAGCCCCTTTCTCTCTGGTGAGTACCACCATAGTGTTGTCTGTGTCTATGAATTTCAGATTTATATCCCACATATGAGTGAAGTCACATGGTTCTTAGCATTTTCTGACTGACTTATTTCACTTAGCATAATATTATTAAGGTCCATCCATGTTGTTGCAAATGGCAGTATTTCATCATTTTTTATGGCTGAGTAATATTCCATAGTATATATGGACCACATCTTCTTTATCCATTAATCTAGGAAAGGACACTGGTTGTCTCCATGTCTTGGAAAATTTAGTACTTAACTTATTTTATTTTTTTTACCTGCTCACAAAAGGATAAGGATGTGATCCACTTAATACTACTTAAGTATTTAAAATTTTGGCTGTTATGTTTCTCCATGTTACATTAAATATACAATTTTCTTTTTCCTTTTTAGGAAGCTATGCTAGAGTCTTCATTGAATTCAGATCAGTGTCTTTAAGAACTCAAATACTTGTTGAACTAATAAATGACTCTGATAATATAATTGGTACATAATTTTAAAAATACTGCACAAAAAGGATGAGTTTATTGTTAAGTGAATGTATGAAGAAAGGAAAACTTAACTTTCTATAAATTCTATACAATATTTTTGAGTGTCTACTATCTGTCAGTAAGTAGTAGATGTGCAGAGAGGAATAGGTCACAGTGTTGTCCTCATGGAACCAATGATGTAGTGGCTGAGGTGGTAATCACAGCAGAGGAAGTGCAGTCATAGAGGCACGTGAATGATGCATGGTAGCAGAGGTAGTCACTGCAATTAACATGGACGTGGGAGGAGTTTTCATAGAGGAGGTAACCTTTGGGCTAGAGCATCAATTTTTAACCTTTTTCATCTCATGGCATGCATAAACTAATTACTAAAATTCTGTGATATACCAAAAATATATTTTTTGCCAATCTGACAAAAAATAGATACAATTTTGATTCATTCATGTTGGACAGCTATTGTGTTGGCTGTTGTCTTTTTTTTTTTAATTTGACAATCCAAGGGAAAAGAGGTCAGTGTCCCTCACTAAATAGTCAGACACTGCATATTTAAAATTTTTTTTGACACACTGGTTGAAAATCTCTGGGCTGGAGTATGCGTTTGAAGAGGAGCTTACCAGAAAGTTCAGAGAAGACACTGGGTGTGTGGGAAACAGCATGTAGAAAGCCCAGAGATGGCTGAGTCCCCTGTTACGACTTTTACATATAACTTGTGCTGTCATTGGGAGATGAAACTTGTAGGGTGACTTCAGATATTGGAGTGTCTACTGGGCACCAATAATCTGTTACTTAACCAAAAGTGTAGAACATTTGAGGATCTTTAGCAGTTCATTGACACCATCAGATCTTTAGTTTAAATAGATCATTCTGGTAGTAGTGTGGATGATGGATTTCAGGGATGAAGGGGGAGCTGGCATGGAGAATCTGGAGATGAGGTGATCAGAAAGTTATTGTAATAGTGGCACATCATTGAGGATGGAAATGAAGGGACATATGTGAGATTTCTGTGGAAGAACAATAGGATCGGTTGATGAGTTGGTTATGGGACATGTGTGAGAGGACATTCTAAAGGTATGATTTGCCTGGACAAACAAAATTAAAGGAAGTGTCATTAAGTGAGTGGAATTAGTTGAAATGAGTCATTTATAAGGTAGCAAATTTCAGTTGTGTTTTTTAAAAAAAGATTAGGCTGCTTTGCAGAAAATGAATTCTTGCTCCTGGCTAGCCTCAAGGTTTGTGAAGAACCATAAAAAGAATAATTTTAATTAAAGTGAGATTGAGCCTACTTAAGTAGATACATAGTAGACTGACAAATTTAAAGGATGTTGAAAGTAGATAAGAAGAATAATAAAAAGTACTCCATCTAAAGGCTTTCTGATGAAAGCAATGTGGGTGACTTGAAGTAATCAAGGAATTAAACAAGTTTGAAATGATTGAAAAATTATACTTTATTATAACCAAATTAAAATATTTTAATTAAATATTAATTTTCAGGTGTTGGTATTTTATTCATAATGACTTTCTCTTAGGGTGTTCCACATGCATTTAAATAGAAGTACAATTAAATGCAATTAATTAGAATAAAAATAATTTAAAATAATTAAATAAAAACAAATGCAATTAAATAAAAGTGGATAGAACTATAGAAGTGCAAATTATAATGTTGACTTATAGCTTGTTTGTCTATAGTAATTATTAGATTTATTGTCTCTTACCTGCCCTAAGCCATCCTCTGCTGTGACAGTTTCTCTATTCTTCCTGCCCTCTCCGTCCCTTCCTTCTACAGATACATACTACTGCAATGTACTCCCGTGTGCCAACAGCTGTGTTAGGTGTTTGGGATATGGTTGTGAGCAGGAAAGAAAAGGCTCCTGCCCTGAGAGGGCTTATATTCCAGTAGGGGGGACTGGAAATGAACAATCAAATACATAAAAAACCATAATTTCAACAATGCCTAGTGCTGTCAAAAAAATAATGTCATGGAGGGTTCATGGAGTATAAAGGAGGGCAATTAGGGATACTGGATGGAAAAAAGCATAACCTTATTTTGATTGGTGTGGAGAGACTTCCTGGAAAAGATGAAGATAAGACATAAATAAGGAGAAAAGTCCTGAGAGGATGAGGGAGATGAGTGCAAACCTGCTCTCGCCCTGAAGCTGAAGGGCTTGGTTTATGGAGGTAACTAGGACCTGAGGGGCTAGAGCTCAGCTGGGGTGAGGGAGAGTGGTGGGACAGGTAGTTGGGCCCTGCTGTAAGGCTTTGCAGGTGGGAAGGGGAAACGGATTTTATCCCAACTCGAAATCCCCGGATAAGTGAAGCCGGGAGTGAGCTAATTCAAGTGATCTCTGGTTAGCCTGCAAACTATTTAGGAAACTATTACAAATAGTGCAGGACTACTGACCCTTTGACTTCAGCCACTGGGTGGATGGTGGGCCATTTACTGAGGTGAGATAAATGGAGATAGTTCTGGGGTAAATTCAGAAGTTTCCTTCTGGACATGGAAAATTTCGGAGACCTAACAGACTCCACATGGAGACATCTAGGAGGCAGTAAAGGTCTGGTTAGGACAATTCTTTCTTTATGAAAAGCATTTGCTTTATTTTAATGGTGAAAACTGCTGAAGCAGAAAAGTCAAACCTTGACATGGTTATTCGGTTATGTGTGGAAGTTCTGTAGGAGACTTAACAGGGACCACTCAATCCCAGAAGCTATACAGAATCATAATGAAATTTTGGTCAATGGGAAATAAAGGACTTTTTTTCCCTACCTTACATCATTAAATCAAGACTAATAAGTCATTCTAAGATGGCTATACAGGTTATCAATTATTTTATTAATCATATAAAAACTAACTGAAAGTATAAAGTAGAACAATCTAAACTGTAAAAAAATAGAGTTGTTAGTGTGTCTCACCTATTTTTTTCTCTTTTTCTTTGCAGGTCATGTATTTTAGTTCTCTGTTCCCATATGTGGTACTTATATGCTTCCTAATTAGAGCACTCTTTTTAAATGGTTCAATTGATGGCATCCGACACATGTTTACCCCTAAGGTGCGTACAATATTTCTATATAAGGTTTTTAATCATGAAAGCATTGTGTTTGTTGTTAAAATGTTCTCATAGTTTGAATTAAGGGATAATTGTACCAGCATATATTACACTAGATTTTTTAACTATAGCCATTATGTTATCTAGCCTAGATAAACCAGAGATTTTACATATCTATTATTATATTTGTCTCCAATTTAAAATGTCTCATTTTAGTTCTAGAGTAAGGCTACACTATTTAAACTTAAAACATTCCTCTTTTATATTAAATTAATTTCCAGTTTTTGCACTTATAAGTTTTAGAACTTTTAGTCTTTACTCTTCTTCCTCCTCTATTTCAATGGTTCTTAACATTTTGTGTCATGGACTCCTTAAGAAAAAATAGAATCTTCTTCCAGAAAAAACATAACGAACACACCAGTTTACTTAGAGTCTCAGGAAGTGGACTAAAGTCCGTGGGCCCAGGTTAAATCCCATCTCAGAGAAAATCTATCTTTTCTTGTTTTATTTTGTGATTTTGCATCTTCCAGAATGATATTTCCATGGTGATTTTGGGAAGTTCTGTAACTTTTATAACTACACATACTTTTCAGGAAAATTCTCATTTGGTTTCATAAAAGGCTTAGAACTGTCATTCAATTTAGAGGTGACCTCAATGTTGGGTACATTGAACCCAATTAATCCTTGTGGACCTGCTATACTAATTTGACAGTAAACTAAACCAAGTTTTGAGGCATATATTAACTTACTTATTCACTGAAATGAAGTTACACCTTACTATTGCTTTGCTAACACTATCACTGGCAGACACTGAGTTATAAAAACACAATTTCAGAAAGAATGATCATGGTGTGAGATTTGGGCAGAAGACACTAACTAGCCTCCCAAGAATTCTTTGTCCCTCCTAGCAGCTTCCTTGACGCCGTGTAAAAGAGGCTGCGTTCTTCAGGTGTCTGGTTCCAGCTTGGTGTACATTCTCCAGTAGCAAAAATATTCACATCAGTATCTGGTGTTCTTGGCTAGTTCAAAAGTCCTGTTTAACATTCGGCGTTGTTGGAACACTTTAGTGAATAACTAGTTACAATTTATAAATTTTAGCTACATGATAATATATAATATAAATCATCTGGAAGTGAGGCATACTTAGTGACCAAATTTATTTTTGCTTGTAATATTGAAAAAGACATGTGTTTTGTGTTTAAAACAACTAGCTTTGGTGTGAATTTCTGGCATATCATTTTTTTCTAAATTGGCAGTTGTTTGAGACATAATTCTAAATATTTGAATAAATAGATATTTTACAATTTAAACCTTTTGCTATGACAATTTTACATGATCCCTATATTAAAAATTGCAACATAATTAACATTTTAAACCATGACTAAGATCACTATTAAAATATAATTAATCCTTTCTTCAGCTCATGTGATAGTAAATATAATAGCAATAACAAGTTTTTAATTTTTTTAAAAAAACTACTCTTTTTTTAAAAGATTTTATTTATTTACTTTTAGAGAGATGGGGACGGGAAAAAGAGAGGGAGTGAAACATCAATGTACGGTTGCCTCTAACACACCCCATAATGGGGATATGGCCTGCAACCCAGGCATGTGCCCTGACTGGGAATCAAATCCGTGATGCTTTGGCTTGCAGGCCTGAGCTCAGTCTACTAAGCTACACCAACCAGGGCTAATTACTTTTAATTTACATTATTTGTATAAGGGAGAAAGTACCTAAACACACAAAATATTCCCAAACCTTGAATGAAAACAGTTCCTGAATTGGAAATAAAGCAGGGTGAATATCCTCGGAAAGTAAACGGGTGCTTTCTGCCATCTAGTGGCTAAAGTAGAAGTAGACAGTTGATTGTGTAGAATAAGATAGCAGTGGTCAATAAACAATATGCATGTCTTAGTTAAATGTACATAAATTATAAATATAATTGTTTAATAAAAATTTTATACATTTCAATAATAATAACTAAAATTAGTTGAACAATAAATTCCAATGTTTGAGAGAACCAGGGATTTTGTAATCTATCTGTTTACAGTTCAGCTCTACCCCAGAAATGCTCCGTAACTTTAAGTGGGTTACTTAACCTTTCTAAGATTTAGGTAACAGTACAACCATTTCATGGATTGTGAAGATTAAATTGGATAATCTATATAAAGTGCTTATCAATGTGTGTGCCACTGTAGTCCACATATGTTAGCAATTTTTGAGCATTTAGAGTGTTGAGCAATATAGTTAAATCAAATGTCTTACTACTTCCATCAATGAGTTGAGGAAATGAAAGCTGAGAGAGGGTAGGCCGCTTACTAGGTTGCACTGTTCTTATTTAGATTATTAAGTAACAGGAAGAATCAGGACCTGAAACCGTGGAACTCATGTTCTTACCCATGTTTCATGTTGCTCCCAGTAAAGGCACCTTGATCATTGCCTAAGAAGTAAAGCAGAATTCCTTGAAATTTATGTTCAGCACAGATTCAGAACTTTAGAAATTTGGATCTGAAAGGGTCTTAGAGATGATACACCCTTGTAGTTGTATTTCTCTAATTTTCAAAGAAAAGGCTTTCAAAAAAGCTTTTTTGAATGAATGAAAATATGTAAATAAATAATACATATGTGATTATGCAAAGCACAAATAGTTTAACTCTACCATGCCTATAATTATTACCTGCTTTGGCTGTTAGACTTCTGCCAGAAAACACAAAACATAGAGTATTAGTTAAGTAGTTATTAAACTTTTATTGCTAATTGATTTATTTTGCTTTGGACATAAATAGTAATAATTGAAGATAGTTTCTCTTTTAAGTAGTCCTTTGATGACTTGTCCTAGAGGTATTTAAAAATCCTCATAGGTAGACAATTTCCATATAAGTAAAATCTCCATCTAAAAGTTTTATAGTCTGTAGTATTTCTTATTCATATGCCTTGTTCCTTTTTCAAATGAAAAATTTGTTTCTACTTAAGAACAGATTATCCCCCTGATTTAAATAACCTTTAAGTGCATAAAGATTATTATGATATATTTAAACAATACAACTAATTCCATGTAGATTATTCTGACTTGTTATTTTGCAGCTAACTTCTATTATGTTTAATTTTAAACAGCTTGAAATAATGCTGGATCCCAAAGTCTGGAGAGAAGCTGCTACTCAGGTGTTCTTTGCCTTAGGTCTGGGGTTTGGTGGCGTCATTGCCTTTTCGAGCTACAACAAAAGAGACAACAACTGCCACTTCGATGCTGTGCTGGTGTCCTTCATCAATTTTTTTACTTCTGTGTTGGCAACATTGGTGGTATTTGCAGTTCTGGGCTTCAAAGCGAATGTCATAAGTGAGAAATGCATCGCAGAGTATGTATATTAATTTTCTTTAGTTTTTTTAAGATTTCATTTATTTACTTTTAGACAGAGGGGAAGGGAGGGAGAAAGAGGGGGAGAGAAACATCACTTGCGGTTGTGTCTTGTGTGCCCCGACTGGGGATAGAACCAGTGACCCTTTCCTTTGCAGGCTGGTGCTCAGTCTGCTGAGCCACACCAGCCAGGGTAATTTCCTTTATTTTTTGATGACGTAATTGTATTAAAAATATACTCTCCCCCAAAATCTTGTTCATTAACATGTCATTCTGTTTTTTAGAAATTCAAAAATGATTGTAACATTTTTGAAAATGGGCAACATTAGTCAGGATATTATTCCCCCTCACATCAACTTATCAGCTGTTACTGTAGAAGATTATCACTTAGTTTATGACATCATTCAAAAAGTGAAAGAAGAAGAGTTTCCTGCTCTTTACCTCAATTCCTGTCAAATTGAAGATGAACTAAATAAAGTGAGTAGGCTGCATTTAAGCAATAAAATAAGTGTCATTCACTTACAATATGCATTCTAAAAAGAGAGTTTTTTTTTTAGGAAAACGATGTCTAAAATGCCTGTTGTGTTCTTTTAAAATTCACATTCTTTATTTCATAGAACAACTTTTAAATCATAAAGTTTTCCTTTACTTTAAAAAACAATTTCATTGATTTATCCACAGTAATTTAAAATATGAATATAAATTGATTTCCATCATGTAAAGTGAAATGAGTTCAAAAATTGTATTGTGTTTATCACTTACACATTGCATGATTATTTTCATACAAGATGATATTTGGCCATTTTAAGTATTGTGTGAAACAAGTTATGGTTAAGTTTTTCTTCTTAGCCAGTGAAATATATTTTAATACACATAAAATAGGTGAACATCAATAAATATTCTTGTATAGCTTGTCACCTTCTCCCTAAATTGCCAAAAAATAAAATGTATAGAAATTAGTCATCAATTGCATGCTTTAAAATACCTAACTATACTTGAAACTAAACATGAAGAACCATGTGCAGGAAATTATGGGTAAAGCCATCATTAATATAAAAATCTTGAATTCTGTAAGAAAAGACAATTACCCTTAAAAGTTTTTTTTTTTAATTCTGGTCTATCTGTTTTCTTTATGAGATAATACAAACAACTTGAAATTAGTTGAAAGGCACAGTTTCATAGAGGACCATGTGATGTCTGCATGTTTATTTCCAGTGACTCCCAGGCATTATTCAGAGTTCTTTGTAACTGAGGTACATAGCCAACACTTAATATTGCTCTGTGCTCATGTTGCTATTTGTGTATTTCATAGGCAGTTCAGGGAACTGGGTTAGCTTTTATTGCCTTCACAGAGGCAATGACACATTTCCCTGCATCTCCCTTCTGGTCGGTGATGTTTTTCCTCATGCTGGTGAATCTTGGGCTCGGCAGCATGTTTGGAACCATCGAAGGGATCATCACGCCTATTGTGGACACTTTCAAAGCGAGGAAAGAAATTCTTACTGGTGAGTTTTTGTGTATTTGACTTTTCATTGACTGATACAGGCCATTTTACTCTTGGTGAGGGATCAGAAGTAGAAATAAGAAAGTGTTCTATTTTGGGTTTTACTAATGTGTGTTAATATATGTTGCTATTATTTATCATTTTATTTATATAGTTATATAGTCCAAATGATAAATTTAGTGTAGATTATATTAACTATTAGTGATTATTTATTATATTGCTCTTTATAAATAGTGATGTCATCATGAATTACTGGCACTAAATAAAGTCATAGAGTGTTCATATATAGATTTGTACGCAAGTCAAGTAATTAATTATAACAAGGTAGTTCAGATCCAAAATTCCTTTTCCAGAAAGTGCAGAGCTGAAATTGATAAATGTAGACTTACTTCTTATATAAAAATAGCAATTGTGGTCCACTAGTGGTTAATATCTCTAGGTAGAAAAGAAAATAATTTATCAGTATTGATGCTTATTAGTAAGTTCAATCTGCAAGCATGTATTAAAGTACCAGTTTTGTACTGCATTTGAGGGACATAAAAATAAAGGAGAAATTAATAGGAGAGATAAAGGAGAGCCTCAACTCAAAAAATAATAGTACTGATAATTGAAATCAAGTTGGGTAGATAAAGGACTTGTATCATGTAATATACTGATAGATAGCATAATAGATGCTTTACATATTATATGAATTAAGAAGAAACAAAGATCATCTAATGTATGATTTAACTGACGATAAAAGAGCGGGAAGTTGAAGTGGAAAGGGTCTTCTCAGAGGCCAGAGGATAGCATATAAATGGAGGTAAAGAGAGCAGCAAGGAAGCCCTGTAGACCAGAGTGCAGGAGCAGTGTTGGTAAGTGATGCAAAAATAAATTGGGATAAACAATATGTAGCTGATCTTGAATGTGGGCCAGTTGTGTACAAGGTCCCAGAGGCTGTTTTTAGTTCTGAAAGATTTAGTAATAATTGATATGTAAATAACTCTAATGTATAGACCTTTGTCACTTACTGTTCTGCAAAGCGTGTGTGTATATAAAACAATTTCAGCAATTTGTTAAATATTGATGCTAAATGTCTTAGGCTCAGGTGAACGTAAATGAGAATCTTCTTCCTCTTCTCCCAAAAGGCAGTCTCTACTTCTTCAGTTTCTATTTCATTTAAGGCTATCAATATCCTGCCGGATGTGCAGGCTAAGTAACAGTCATCCTTGCTGCCTTCCTCATCTTTGTCCCATATTCAAATCCCCCTGAGGTGAGAAGGCTTGCAAAATTAAGGGAAAAGCGACAGTATAGAGAGAAAAATACACAATGTAGTGTTTGCTGAGTGCACTTGGGAGCACTCAGAGACCTATTTGGTCAGAGCAAAGGGGAATTACCGCATTTTTCGGACTATAAAATGCACATCCTCCCCCACCCCCACCAGATTTGGGAGGAATAATGGTTGTTAATGCTGTTGAGTTCTGTTTATATTAACACTGGTGAGATATTATGTTATTTATGTTATTAAATATTTTATCACATTTTTTGCTTCAAAATTTTTTTCCTATTTTCTTCTTCTAAAACCTAGGTGTGTCTCATGGCCTGAAAAATATGGTACTCTCTTCCCCCATTACCTGTCTTTGGGATCAAACCTATATTTCAAGCTACATTTTACCCTGATGAAATGCACCTCCATCAACTTTGTCAGACCTGTTTTTGCCTTTTCTGAAAGTACAGTAGGACTGGCTAAGTGATTACTCATTATCTTTTCCTCTCACATCTCTACTAAAACTCTTACTGTCTGTACCACCTAGGACACACTTTCTTCATATTTGCCTTATACTGTGGTATAATTAGAAGACAGTGAGGGTGACATAGGTTATGGTTCATATTCAAGTTCTGCTACCTTCATCTTGAAGTACAATATATTGTGAGAAGCATTTAGATATTTCAATCTGTGATAGACTCCAAGTGTAGTACACATTGCTTCTCCTTTTCTACATATATGTCTATCCATTTATGTATAATGTAACTCATAACACTAGCACAGTGTTTAAAAGATGGAGGTAATGGGTTAATTTGACCCATACTTATTGAGAGTGTTAGGGAAATACTGTCTTCAAACCCAGGGATATCTGTATTCTCCCTTGTTTTGCCTTTACTCGCCTCTGATAAAAGGTGTTTGAGAACTAGAACACAGTCATCTTTTATATTTGAGGGCTTCTCTGCTAATGTGCATGAGAGAATAAATTGTCAAATGAAACTGTGAGAATATTATATGGATTCTACTGCAGAAACTCCTTTTAGATGGTTCTTCTTAGTTACTTGGATAATTAGATTGCCCAACCCCGTTATAATTGTATTCCCAACTAACCTTTTCAGACAGTATCAAGATAAAGATTTGGGTTGGTGCTAAGGAAAGGTTGAATCAACTTTTTTCAGTTATGCTTTAAAAATAACCATAGTTCAATCAAATATAAAAAATATATTTTATCACAATCTTATTACTGCAGGACTGAATAAGTTATTGTTGCATTACTTTCATTATTAATACAAAATTCAATATAGCTTCCCAAACCATAAAGTATTATTAAAAGTAGAAATGATCTGTGAACATTTGCTGCCTGAAAAGGTCACTTTGCTGTTAATAAAGAGAAGGACATGGAGATTTATACTTTTTTAAATCTTCTCAGTTTTGCCTCATTTATTAATTGGGCTTGGTAAGTAAGTTGCATAGACTATGGGAAATGAGCTGAGTTAATGTCTTACAATGAATTTGTTTAACATCTGGGCTAAATCCAAGCTCACTAACTCCTAATATTATAGTATCACACTCTACAGTATCATGTAGAGTTTGATACTCTATAGTACTGAGTAGTATGATACTCTATAGTATTGTACTCTATGGTATCAGGATACCTATTGATATCATCGACAGGTTACAAAAGTGAAAACAAAATTAGTTTGAATATAATAATTCATAATATAGTTTAAAATACTTGATTCTGAATAGGGTTTAATTTTTCATTTATTCCTTTTGTCCAGTTATCTGTTGTCTTCTGGCATTTTGTATTGGCCTGATATTTGTGCAACGCTCTGGAAATTACTTTGTTACAATGTTTGATGATTATTCTGCTACACTGCCTCTTCTAATTGTAGTCATTTTGGAGAATATTGCTGTATCCTTTGTCTATGGCATAGATAAGTAAGTTTATTTTCATCTATATTTTGGAAACACCAGTTGTCATTATCTATTGATATTTCATTTAGAAGAGGAAGGAAATGACTAGAGGGAAAAATGCTATAAAATCAAACCTTTTGAAAGCTCTTCTTCATTCAACAAATTTTAGTAAAGTATATTCTCCTATTAGGAAGTTAGATAAAATTGTGTAGGTGGCAATATCATCTAGGAACCTGGAGTTTTGATTTAATTCTGGTTATCAAATAGTAGCTTTCAAGATTTATTGAGTATTGGCTATGTTCCATGAACCTTGTTGCTCTGAACTCAGGTTCAGTGAGACACCAAGTGACTCTCTCTCCTGTGCAGAGGCAGACTTGGAATTCATAGCCATTTCCACTTAACTCTAAATGCTATTGTCCTAGTTATTTTTCTAACCTGTTTTATTAGAGGAATTTTATTTTTTATGCTACATAATGCCTTATATAACAGACCAGTTTTGGGAAACTATATATCTTGCTCTAAGATATATATGTCATTTTATCTGCACGTACTTTGTATTTATATTGAGTCATTACTTGAATTTACTGGATGCCTTAAACCTCTGAATTATATACCTGCTTGATGTGGAAAGTATATATACTTGCTATGAGACAAAGCATTAGAGTAATCTCAGAAGAAAAAAGTCCCTGGAGACTTTGTCCAATATTTTCTAAAGATGTTGTCTCTAATGAACATCTATGGGCTAAGGCAATAAGATCATTGATCTTATTAGAGGTCTACGTAAAGTAGAAATGAGTGTGTTGAATGAAGACCAGAGTCCTCTTAAACAATACAGAGAGAACATAATTGGTATTGAATGAGCTTTGTGACAAAGCTTAGAGAATGTTTTTATTGCTGTCAAAATCTCCAGATAAAGAAGAGTAGGGGAATTTCCATTTTATAATCATATATTAGATAGCAATAGTAGCAATGGCTGTCTGACATGCATTAATTCTTAATCCTCTTAAAAGCACTCTGTGGTAACTGAAAGCAGCCACATCACACATGGATAGTTGGCATACTTATACAGGAGGACTTAATATGCTAGTTGTAGAGCCAGGACTTGAATTTAGACCTTAATTTCAAAACCAGCCATCTCTACACTCCGTCAACCTACCCCTGTGTTCTAACCTGCAATATATTGGGATTTGACAATGTATTGCAAATACTGTTCTCATGGGGTACAAAGTCATCAGTAGGAGGAGGCTTTTCAGTAATTGGCTTAATAGGGCTTTTGCTAAATGAAAATTATAGCATGTAATTAACTGGTTCCTTTTTACTTTATTTATGTTCTTAATTTATGTCATCTTCCAATATGACTTTTGATTCTGTATAAAATGTCATGTGATGTCCTGTCTAATCCCCTGTCAAATCATTGATCTGATGCACATTTATAAGGTATTGCATAAACTGTAGCAATAGTTACTTTCTTTTTATTTAGGTTTATGGAAGACCTAAGAGATATGCTGGGCTTTGCTCCCAGCAGATATTACTACTATATGTGGAAATATATTTCTCCTCTGATGCTCTCATCACTGCTAATAGCTAGTATTGTGAATATGGGATTAAGCCCTCCTGGCTATAACGCATGGATTGAAGATAAGGTAAAATACAAGATAAGGAAGTTTCTGTTTTTTGTTTTCTTCACAGTATATTTTGATATTTAATGAATGGTGCTACTTTTATTGCAGGGATCTTAAGATTTATATATTTTTTGGTCCTAAACATGTATGATATTTTTATACATTGTAAATATTTAAAATACATGTGAAGTACTAACTTGGTTCTAATTAAAGTAGCTTTATTCATGTCACCATAGATGAACCAGTAATTATTTATCCTTTAACTAGAAAATATCTTGCTTAAACCACCAGAAATATTTTTTCTATGTAAATTTATTAAATTATGTCCCAGATATTATATAATAATGACAATGTGCATTAACCATGTAGACATAATTTAAGTAACTATTGAAGTTTTGTTATAACTATTTGATATTAGCAATGACTATTTCAGTTCTTTTGTCAAGCTGTATTACCCAAATAATAATGGAACTATAAGGTATATATGAGCTGTTGTAAAATTTTTCAGAGGTACCTCTGACCCGAATTCTATGGGCAATAATTCTATATAATAACAACTAAATTCATGACTGGGGCATAAATAAGTTTGTTATCTTTTACCAAAACCCTTGGGCCCAGAAATGCTTCAAGATTTAGATTTTAGAGAGTTAGCATGGCATATGTGACAGGTATCTATCACTCGATAACAAACTACCCCAAAATGTCATGATTGAAAGCAATGCTCATTAGTATTTCTTGGGTGCTATGGGTGAGCTGGGCAATTCTTCTCAGTTTTGCCTGCATTAACCCAATAGTTGATTAAACTCAGAGAGCTGATGTCTCTATAATTTTTCATTCTTAGCTTCTTCCAAGCAATATGAACTCAGGACAGCATTCTATGAAATAAGCAGAAATAGCAAGGCCTTTAAGGCCTAGCCTTGAAGATGCTTAATGTCACATCCACATCATTCCACTGGACGTAGCAAGTCACAAGGCCAGCCCAGGTTCTTTGTCTCTAAACCTGAGACAAATAGAATGTTTTCCCCATACTTGCAGGGAAAAAATAGATTATTAATTCATATTTCTGTCTTTAACAGGCATCTGAAGAATTTCTGAGATATCCTACATGGGGAATGGTTGTCTGTATCTCTCTGATGGTCCTAGCCATACTCCCTGTCCCGGTTGTCTACATCGTTCGTCGCTGCAACCTGATAGATGATAGTTCTGGCAATTTAGCTTCTGTGACCTATAAGAAAGGAAGGGTCCTAAAGGAGTCGGTAAACTTAGAGGGAGATGATGCAAGCCTCATTCATGGAAAGATACCAAGTGAGATGTCATCTCCAAATTTTGGTAAAAATATTTATCGGAAACAGAGTGGATCACCGACTCTGGATACTGCTCCCAATGGACGATATGGAATAGGGTATTTGATGGCAGATATGCCAGATATGCCAGAATCTGACTTGTAGCTGGGGGGAGAAATCAGTGGGTTTTATTTAGTTCATTTTTGTCAGTGAACATTGGCTCCATGAAGAGAAGCATTAGGCTTCACTTATCAGAGGGTGATCTCAGGTGTTTCATGGCTGTGATCTTCAACCCTAACGGTGTATGTAAATTCAGCTAGAATGTTCCTTTGGATTCTTTGGTTTACATTTGCACAGGCAGAGTTACAGAGAAAGCTTATGATGACAAGGGTTCATGCTTGTCAGAATTTTTAAAAATACTTTTGGTATTTTTTTCAAGTATTTCTATCTCTAAAAAAAACAGGAGTTACCTCAGTTTCTAATAATTTCTGGATGTAATAGTATTTGTAATTGAAAAATGGTATACTTCAAAATGTATAAGTTTGCCCTCAGGTTAACTCCCGGTATTACAATGAATGGTTCTGTGAGTCGGTGCCTCTCAGCACATTTCCATGAATATATTGTGTAGATAGGCTGTACTTATTTTGGTAGCATTGATACCTTGGTAGGCAATTAGTTGAAAAAAACTGCAAAATATTTTCTTATGTAATAGTTATATAGAGCAATAGTATCAAAGAATAAGAAGGCACTAATGTTGGGATGAAAGATTGTATTCAGGGTGACTAAGGATCATGTGTGCGATGGCTGTATATTTTGTGTAAAATATATGTGAAAATGATCTAAGTATGAGTCACTCAGCACTCTCAAGAATTATGCAGATCCCGCATTTTTCTATGCCATGTGCCTAAAAAACTACTTGATATTTATTGGGAATTCAAGATTACTCATAGTATATTTATATAATATACTTGCAATGTATATAGGTGAATAACGGTACTCTAAGTACTGATTTGAAAACTTGAAGCAAGATGGCATTTTATTTCATATATTATTTCTGTTTTGCTTCTGTTTTATGCAAATATAAATCCTTTTTTAAGTGATTGTTAAAGTTGTATGACATTACATTTTAAGCTACAAATAAAGTTAAAAAATGGTATTTGTTTTCCACATTGATTTTTCCTGTGTTACCTGAACTGGATTCCTTTGCACTTCAGTCAGCACTTAGGCATTTCACAATAATTAACCATCACATTCTAAGTGGGATTAATATACTAATTAACAGAGTTACCACCATTTTAGAGACAATGGCACATAGAATATTATGGTTAAATAGTGTTAAAATGTAGAACCACAGTTCTTGAAAAAATTCTTGTAGTTTCCCAGCAAACCACATATATAGTTGACAGCTGGCTGGTCAGTATTGTCTCTGAGGTGTAAAAAGTTATGATTTTTTTGAAACTGTTGAATTTATGAAATTGGATGAAACAGGAGCCCTCCATTGAGTGCCCCCTTATTAAAAGGCTTTTATTTATAACTGTCCTATCACTATATTAATTACATTTTAAAAATAATGATGGATAAATCAGCAAAATAGGGGAGGTCATGCTCAACATATCCTTTGATTTATTTTGGCCAAATGTTATAGAGTGCATTGCACCATTTAAAATACAATTCCATTGGTGAATAAAATTTTTAGTTTTTTGTTTTACATATCCAGTATATTTTGTATCTCAATAAAATAGTTTATGAATTTTTTAAATTTTAAAAATATAGATAGGCAATATATGCGCATTGTATAAAACTCTAAGATTATAATTCAGTGTAAAATTTCCCTCCTAAAATTTCTCCTAGCCTCCTATTTCCCATCTTTGAAGGCAGCCATCATTCCTGGTTTATTATGTATCTTTTGGCAGATGCTCCATATATACATTTTACATATTGGCAGCACTCAGCAGTCTTTCTTCTGAATCTTATTTATTTCAATGAATAATTTATTTTGGACAGTGTTTCATAAGAAGGCACACAGACCTGCTTTATTATTTCAGAAGTTGAAGTAATATAAATTTTATTTATTTTCGTGTTGGAGCAATATTTTTATGAGCTACCCCAATATTAACAAGTTTGTAGCAAATACGTTGCCTGCCAGCCTTTAGCTTATCATGATACATTGCCAGATAGCAACCCTTTTCTTTGTTCTCTCTCTTGCCATGAGGGCTCTTATAGTTTGGACACCTGCCTTCCACTAGGGACTAGGTCTCCATCTTTCTAGTCACAGAGTGATATGAAGAATGTAGGAATCCTATGTTTTGAGAAGGAAGAGCATCTAAACTCTTTCTTATGCCCTCACTTGGCTGGCAAATGAGGAAACTAGGCCATAGAAGGTAAAACTAAATAAATAAGGTTCTCTGCTTTTTGATTTTTTGTTAGTTCTTCAGCTATTCATCCATTTATTCATTTGCTCATCCTTTCAGCATCTCTTTACTAAGAATCTACCTTAGTCATAAGTCATCACACCATTGTAAATAGAATATGAATACTTCATCTATTCCTCGGTTTCTCCCTTTCCTCAGGGACACTCCTTACCTGCCCATTCCAGGCACTGTAGTATTTAATCGGTGAATGGTTGATGGAGACACCAGCCTGCAGTGTCCGTGTCATTATGGATGAAATGAGACATTCACACGGACTACCAAGTCTGGTGAAGAAAAAGGGAAAGCATAGCTTTTCTCTCAAGGGGAGCAAAAGCCGCAGCCTACGCCATGACAGGCCATTATTGGGTTTCTCCGCCCATTACATGATGGTCCTCATTTACTATGCACAGGTTCGATTTAGGTGGTTACCTTTTATGGAAAACAGAGGAATCAATGCTGCTAATCACACCACAGAAGAGGGATATTTGCAAATGAAAAGGCAAAAGTGGTTGAACTGGTTACACACTCAGTCTTGGAAGGTATAGCATGGATTTTAGGAAGTTGCTTTGCAGTAAATGTCCTCAATTCAGGGTGAGGGAGTTTTTAGCATAAAGCAAAACTCAAAGCAGCCTAGGTACATTGCAGGCCTGATTCCCTACGGGAGAACCTATTCATGGGCGTGGGTCCTGTGCATCTCCCAGTGGGAGCTGGGCCCATGCCATGCAGAATGGTCTCGTACAAATGGTACCATGAAGTATTCTTTGTAGTCTAAAAATTAAGACTACTTGTTTTTTGTATTAATTTCCACTGCATCTGTAAACTCTGGTCTAAACTTGCACCTAGACAGAACATGGCCAAGTATTGTGTATTTTCCAACTGAAGGCAGGTTGGGGAGTGAAATGGGAGGGCTCGTTGAGTGTTCAGAATGCAATAAAAGGACAGTGGAGAAAATAAACTCTGTTAGGTGTTAGAGTCATAATGATGGATCTAACATATTGGTGCGATGAAGGCTTAGGATGTAATTTTGTGAAAGTATATTTGCATTTTCATGTGTCTGTGTTTGTGTGCATTTTTTAGGCAGAAGTTACTTTTTTCATCAAATCTTCAAATGGGTATGTGATTGCAGAAAGTTTAAGATGCAGTACGTATTATAGTTATGCCTTTGAGTTATCAGTGCCCTTTTAAATACATATATTCAACGTACTGAACCTGAGTCTTTTTGGGATAGATGTAGACAATGAATATTTTGTTTAAAACATATTGTGATGTGCATTTTTAGGTAGGTACCACAGTATGAAGAAGATGAAAAGAAGTACAAGTAAAATATGAACTCTAATTGTCTTCAAAGAGAATGAAAATGAACATGCAATAACTGTGATAATGGATGAAAATAATTTGGTGTATAGAAGCTAGAATTTATAATAAATCCTTTGAAAGTAAAATATCTTTCTCCTTTTGATATTGTTCTGGTTATTGTGTTTCCTGAACAATCCCAAAGAGATTCATATTTATCTTGATTGAATATGAATAAAATCAATAGCAATTACATGGATTTTTTCCCATAAACTTTAGGTGTAAATTTTTGAGTCATAGAGTTTTGACAAAAAGGGAAAAACCATAAAACTCTAGAAAACTATTGGAAATATTAAAGATAACACTTTCCATAAGCCATCCATTACCAAGCATAGCATATTATTCCCTTCATAACTTTGGACTGAAGTAAAATGTTCCATATGTTATTTGACTCCAAAATTGGCTGATTTTCTAGTTATCCCAACATGCCTTCCCACCTAAAATCTTGCTTTAAGAATGCCTGTTATGTAGAGGTAAAAAGAGAACAGGAACTGGGACATTATCTTTTCCTAAATGCAGTATCTTTTAGATTGTACTAATGCTTTAACACACCACAGGGATTCCTGGCACCACCATCAAAACACAGAGAGGCACATACTACCACATCATCACCACTGAAAAAAAAAATAACCGTCTGATTTACATGAACAGCAAGAAACTTGCCATGTGGTGCCTACATAATACCATATGTGGTGCCATGTAAATAAAAGGAACCATGCCCTGTAGAGTAGTGGTGATATCCTAGCTGCTACTCTTTTTCCACTGATAGTCTTTTCAGGGATATTCAGTTGCATACTAAGGAAGATAAAGGTTCTTTAGAAGAGACTGGCATATTTCTAAGAATACAATTTTCTCAGCAGAAGTCACTAACAGGATTGGAAAAACATATCATGGTTCTTTAAAGGAATGCTTATAAAAATAAAAATAAAATAAAAATAAAAAATAAGAGCAGAACATGACACCCCAAGGTAGTCCAGTCTGAAAAAACTGAGTAAACTTTAAAATTTGCAGGCATGGGAGCAGTGGAGGCATGTGTTTCATCTGCTCCTCACTAGCAGTTACCCACATGAAGAGAAAGGTCCAGCACACTCATAGTTGCAGATTCCTTCCTGGCCTGTGTTCATTCGAATACCCTTTCTTTTGTCAATAATATGCCTTTTTGTCAATAATATGCCTTTTTCTCCCTTCATCTTAAGGTTTGCTTTATTTAGGGCAAATGTTAAAACAATCAGAATAGGAGATTTGAGGTCAGATAGATCAATGACTAGAAGAACTGAACAATGAAGACAGCCTTTCTAGCAGGAGGGGACGTGGGTGGTCCGATCTCTGCAAAAGGAAGCAAGTAGAAGTTTATTCATTGTATGCTTTCTTAGTACACTTTTGGGTAGAACTATCTTAATTTAGCTTTTTTAATAATTGTAAATAATCGTATAAGAGATTTCATCATCTCATTTTTTTTGAGTTGCTGTATAAAGGAACGCAATGTCAACATAGAATACCAACCAACAAGCCATTTGACATAAGAACATCTACTCCCCTTATTTTTTGTTTTAGCCAAGTGAAGGCAGTAATAAACTGATTCTAGGACTTTGATTCAGTAGAATAAATCTAATTATTTACATAATATGCACTTTATCATCATATGGAAGTTATCTATTTTATTTTGACTTTTCAGCTTGCAGTCATCATATCCATACAGCATAGAGAGCATTTCCTCATCGAAAACTTTTTCACTTTGATTTTTCCTATGTCTTCATAAAATATTTCTATTTAAGCAAATTACAATTCAAACAAGTAAATTAAGTTACCTTCCTGTTGAACTTTACAGATGAATTATAGTAACCAAAACAATATAAATTTTTGTCATCACCTTGTAGGACCTTTTTGTTTTCTTTTAGAGAACACAGTAGACCACATCCTAAACTTGAATTTTTCAAAGATTTTAATTTTTCAGATTTCCAACTTATTTAAGTAGCACTGTTATAACTGCTTCTCTATTTTCAGGTAGAGTGATCAAAACATCTCTAGGATGGGGTTGATGGATAGAAATAACACTCTTTTGGATAGTTTCATGTCACAAGTATACTTTATAGTGAATATAGAGATTTTTCCTTGATTTTGCCATGCATAAATTAAAGGAAAAATACTTGACAGTTCATAAGTAGTTTCAGAGGAATTCAATCATATATGATTAAAGCATGAGTATTTCTTTTTCATGATAGAATCATTCCAGGTAATAAATGTTAAAGCAATAAAGGATGTTTTTGAAATAGGGAGAAATATTTTTGCATTAAATTATGCTATTTCTGAGTGAAAATAATGATGATTATTTGACAACAGTCTGAATAGAATTCTAAATCTTTGTCTTATTCAGGTA